TCATGCGCAGAATATTCTATTTTCCGTTCATCTCATATAACAGCAGTTTCAGAAGATGTTTTTCAGTACCTTCCATTCTTCAGTTGTGCAAGCTCTGATGGCTAGGTTTTCAAGCGTTATTGCATATTTAGTTGTCTGTCATGTGCCTTTGCAAGGGAACCGATCTAGCGACCAATTCTTCTATCTTTTGCACATTTGAACCACATGCCCAAACCATGGGAATCGTAATTTCGCGAAACAGAAAATGAACGATGCAACGAATTAGAATTAGGACTACTGGTAACACATATGTGAACTGCGGAAAGGGAAATGCAATACTTCTTTGCACAAAGGGAAACGACAGAGAATGCTCCAACTGTCGATCATTTCCTCATTGAGCCTCGCGGTGAGGGAAAGATCTACGCAAAGGTGTTGAAAAGATGTCGCGGAATATCTGACCCTAGGGTCCAAGACAAAAAGAACAGTGTGGTTTTTGGTCAGGCCAAGATATCGCTAACCAGATTTCGCCGTCAGCTAGATTGTTGAAAAATCGTGTTAAGGTCGCTCATTAGGGTTATATGTGCATCGTTGTACTGGGGAATGCCCAAACCAAATCCCGTACAACAAGCTTTCAAGCGTTAGGCGTGCCTACAGATATGTGAGAACGATGGCCAGCTGCTACGAGTCATTTAGTCACTTTACGTCGATAGCAGGTGCTGCGTTACCGTAAATGGAGTCAAGTCAAGACATCTCAGCGTTGGTACTTACCTCTGCAAAGGCTGCGTTTTGTCCCATCTAGCGTTCGTGTTGTACATGGATAGATTAGTCAGGCACAGCCAGGGCAATCAGTGCATCAGCGTAGGAAATGCACAGACGAGAAGACTGCTGTTTGCAGACGACCTTGTTTTTCTGGCATCTTCTACAACTGATCTCCATTGCTCTCGGGAAGGGTTCGCGGCTTGTGTGGAAAGTGTCACGTGGTCTACACCTGTGTGAATGTGTCTAAAGCGAAAAGCCTAATGCTTTTCCGTTCTTCTGCCCGTTGCGCTGTGCAGGTAAACGGAGAAGCAGTCGAACAGGTAGAGAAATTTGCGTTCATCGGGGTCGTGTCTACTGGTGATGGAAAATGGGTGGAAGACACCGAACGAAGAATTTGAATGGTCAAAATTCTGCTTGAACCAGCCCTAAACGTTGTGACTAAAACAGAGCTGAGTCTGGTCATTAATCTCTGTGCTCAAGCCGATTTTTATTCCCATGCTCAGTTACTGTCATGAGTCAAGGGCGGGGCGGGGGTGACTGACAAACTTCGTTCTCGGGTACAGTGGCTTTAAATTGGTTTTCTATGGAGAACCACTAAACTCACACGCCTCGAAATGATACAGAACTCAGATATCCGAGATAACCTTGGTGTGCAGCTGTTGCCTGTTCAGATTGGGAAACCACAGATGCAATTGACTGGACGCGTTTTGCAAATGCTTCCAGAAAGGAATGCTGCTGATTACCCAACCGAGCAACCTGAAGCTCGGGGGACGTCAAAAAGATAACCTGGAGTATATGCACGGAGGGACTCTGCTCCAGACTCGGGTCATCTTCTCTCGAAACTGAAACGTTGGTCGGGATCCTGAAAGTTGGAGACACCGTAACGCGTCTGCCTCCGCGTCCTAAGGTACAAGCGGTCATCGAAACTGACTAACTGACGTACCAGCTGACGTCAACGCGCCAGTGATGCGGATGGTAGAGCTGTTGGAATCCCTTAATATTTACTAGCCACAGTGTCTTCATGCTTATGAATAGGGAATGATTATGCGGTGCAGGATTCATTAGTAAATAGCAATCTGCCAACAACGTGCTGATCAGCTGCGTCGCTTCTGACACTTTGGAAGTTCAATGCGAGAATCAGATATGATAGTTAATTAAAGTAGTGGAATTTTTTTCATAAAAAGATGACGCCCTGTTTCTGCCTAAATTTCATCCCAACGTCAAATAACTTCTCCTTATAAACAAGAAAATAAAATAATTCGACGTGCAGATTTTTTACTCATAAGCTTTTATTTTGCTGGCAGAAGGATCACCGGGCATTACTGGCGCTTCTAAATTCAGGCAACCTTTCTATAAGCAGCAATACGACGGCAGATAAAGCGAAGCGCCTAAATAATGAAGCTGGAAAGCAGCGAAGCTGACTCAAATCTATATTCACTTCTGAATATAGGCTTTGACTGCTTCTGAAAAACAGTACCAACACGACTAAGCTGCACAGAACATAAGCAGCTAGTCAATCGGATGGTAGAATACCGTCAACATTTCAGTACTGATCTCACAAACCTCATTCAGGGCAAAGTGCTAATGTTACTCCAGTTATTGTTGTTACTTGCCTAAGGGCTGATGGCTCAAAAGCCTCCATCTGCTGAAGACGTCAGTATGAATTATCAGCCAACTCTCTTGCCCTGAAAAATATCCTCATAAGCGGTTTAACATACGATGCCACCGATTTGCTCTATGTGCAGTAGAACCATGCTTCTCCATGACTGCTAACTCTTTACTCTCTCATCGGTCGTACTGTTTCATGAATATCGTACGGAACCAGTATGCAAACACAGTAAAAAACGAGCTGAACCGGTCGTTTGTGATGCAGAAGATGTTCAATGGTAGTAAAAAGCTATATGCTTTCAAACTTGTCATCGCACTCAAAAACATCTGCGGTCATGAGTGCTGGCTCAAGAACACGATCACAAATACAAGCAGACAAATGAGATGCGCTGGAAAGGTTGTTGGCGCGAAAAAAGCTCAGAGTCGCGCATGCCTGAGGTCGAGAAGTCATGAATGCGATGACTTAAATACATGGTCGGAATGCCACAGGAGAGAGTCAAGGCGGAGACTCAAAAAAAAGAAAGAAAAGTCACTTAGAGGATAGACGGGGGCAGAGAGCAGATAAGACGGTTCGACTCAG